TAAATTGGCTATAAGCTGCAAGGAAGCATTAATTATGCTTTATGTGTGGTTGACTGAAAAAGAAGCCAGACTAATATTAATTTATATTTCGTATCAACTTTTGTTGATTTGAGCTAAAGTTTTCTGCCTTTATTATAATTGTTAGCACTTTATTAGAAAATACATTAAATTAGTCATTTATTAAAGATTTACAAAGTATGTTAACATAGGATCCCAGTATCATATATTTATCAGGAAGGGATCTTTGAGGTTGTCTGGTCCAACCCTGTTATTTTGCAGATAAGAAAACTTAGGCCCAGAGAGGTGGTGACGTTGGGGTCACAGGTGTAGCAGTGCCAAGATTTGAACCCAGGTTCTCTGACTCCAAATCTAGCACTCTATCCACTGTAGGAGTCTGCCTCTGCTCCCTTAAGTAACATCAGTTACTTAAGCTAGTAAGTAGTTAATATTTCAACACAGGGATAGAAGTTCAGATCTTAATTTCCACCAGTGCTACCTAATGATTCTTGACTGCCGCTATGTCCTTTAAACACTGAAGTTAGAAATTAAAAGATTTTGGTAAGGGCATTGATTGGGAAGGAAAATCCAAGAGGTACAACTAAAGAAGTTTGAACCCCAAAATTATAAGTGTTAAGGACAGTTCATTTGTGAGTAAAGTATAAAAGTAGTGTTAGCAGTGAAAATGTGTGTGAGAAGTAGATCATATGATTAGGATACTTTCCTAAGGATGACTTTGGGTACCAATAACAGTTGCAGAATGGGAAATTAGTTGTGAGGGTATGATTTCAAGAGCATCAGGATTTGGTAGGAGGTTCTACATGGCAATATAAAAGAAATGGGAGATCTGTTGTCTTAGAGAATAAGAACACCTGTTTGAGCAGGGATAGGAAAGAAATAGCTGAAATATTTAGGAAGAAGACAATACAGTAAAAGTGGATTAATAAAATGAGGGAATAGCAGATATACTAAAACTATGACCTGAAGAGACGGTTTTTAGGTTTTTTTTTAAAGGAATCTCAGTAAAAGAAGGTACAACTATTAAATCACTAAGTCTGAATCCTTACCTTTTCTCAACCTGTCTGTAGACTTAACTAGTCATTTAAATGTCCTATCTTTACATACTTTTCATTGCCTCCTAGACTCAAAATTTCATCACATTTTTTTTTCATCAAAAAGGACAAGTATCTGCCCTTTTTGTATATGACTACCTGGGCTTTGATCACTCTAAAGATCTGTGGATTTCAGAAGCAGCTGCAAATTGGGCCATGTTTATTGTCAAACTGAAAATACTCTTTCCAGTAATCATATTTGGTTTGCTTTAACATCCAGAAGTAATACACATGCAGTATGTCTAAGCACTTGACTATATTTGGTGCTGGTGTCCTTGTGCTACCACATGTGCAGTTTATATCAAGGATCTATGATAACTGGGAATTCCTGCACTAATCCAGATCATGACCTATCTATGATTTAATTGATAAGTCTTAGGGCTGTGACTCAGCAGGCTTCAGTGACACATGCAGGATTTTAACTGAGGACTGCTTGACTCCAGTATTATATCTACTCAGCCATGCACAGATCTCTAAGATAGATATTATCAGAGCCCCCTCCTCCTCCCCTTAATGACTATTCTGAAAAACCTGAAACATTTTAAACCACTGTCTTGCATGGATCGGTCAACAAATGTCTGGTCATATTGCCACAAACCTAGGTATTTTAACCAAAGTGTCAATTCCAGAAGCAATTATCAACCATTGTGACACTCTTTTGACCAACAGGTGTCATAACTTCACCTTCAGTCTGGGGTGGAAATGTGTTATTGATTTTAGCCTAATAGGGGTTTTTTCTCCCTCTTTTTTTTCTCCCAACCCTTCCTATTATTGTATGCTTTTCTCCTTATCTTATACTGTTTTTTTACTCTGCATTGTGTGAATTCTATACATTTACTCACAGGGTTTTAAAACATCGGTCAAAGGTAGATTTCTGCTGTTCTGAATTCAGTCTGGCTTTGGGGGTAAAGAGGCATGGGTAGGCAATGAACCAAGGTTATGAGGATCAGAAATTGGTAAGGCTGCATTGGGAATGTTGGTATTGAAATAGATTCTTATAGACAATTAAACATGAAATTCTGAAAAGCAACATGACTTGAATGTTAAATTCAACAGACATTATTAAGGTTTAGTTTCACCTAAATAGGTAGACAATTAGCCACGAAATTTGGGTGATATGTGAAGGCTCTTCTATATAATCAGGTGTGGAAGTGACCCCGGGTTCTCAGAAGCTATACTAGCAGAGTACAAGCCCTTGCAGATCCTACCCAGCTGGAAAGACTTCATCTGTGGGCTCAGGAGTGGGGAACCTGTGGCCTCAAGGCCACATGTGGCCCTCTGGGTCCTCACCTGCAGCCCTTTGACTGAATCCAAACTTCACAGAACAAATCCCCTTAATGAAAGGATTTGTTCTGTAAAACTTGGACTCAGTCAAAAAAAGGTTGCATCCAAGGACCTAGAAGGCCACATGTGGCCTCCAGGCCATTCCCCACCCTTGGATTAGATCATCTGAAGACCAGTCTAACCAAGTTTGGAAACATTCATCGGTAAGATGCCTGCAGGGTATTGCATTTTTTGACCCTACCAACTCTTTTAAGTTATGGTAAGGGTGTGATTTGCATCTGTAAAAGTACACTAAGGAAATCACAGATTTTTGAAGTATTAGAGCAGTAGAAGAGAATCCAAGAAGAGCTCTTTGTGATTTTTGCCAGTATAAACCTAGAAATCCATGAACACTTTTTTTTTTTTAAATGGAAAAGGTCGTAATTGATTCCTGGGGCTTTGTTAATGGGAGCATGTACATTGTCATCTCAACATTTTATGTTTTGCCCTTCCTCGAATGGAAAATGAAGAGTTCTAATAACTCAAGATCAAAGGAGTTGATTGTCTGTCTTGCACTGTATAGGCCATGTTTGCAGTTATATATGCTGTTAGAAAACAAGTCTTTATAAATATTCCTTGTAATAAACTTTTTCCTGTATGGACCATCATTTAAATGCCTGCTTTTAACTAATAGTCAGGCATTAAATCAGAATAAATAGCACCAGTGAGACCATGGAATGCTATTAAAGGAATAAACAAATGTAAAATGTTTGAGGAGAGTATGTATGTGTGAATATATCCAATTTAAGAGAAAAAAGCTGCCTATTATATCTTAATGGAAAGAATGAGCAGTTCGTTAGAAATATTTGGGTTGCTAGAAGAACACTAGTTCACACTCAATAAGTGTTCCCAAGAGAGAAAGTTATAATGGCAGAAAAAAGGAAAATGCAATAAAATTTAATTCTTCTATTGGTGTAGTAGATATGTTTATACATTCTTCTTTTCTTAGCTCTGTGGTTAGGGAATACTTCCTGGAAAGACTGTGGGGTGCAGAAATGGTTTCAATTTTGATTTGTATACATCATCTAATTAAATCGTCTCAGAGACAAGGTTTACTGCCTGAGAAGTAGTTTTGTTTTAGTCTTTAATCCTAATGAATTTCAGGTTTGAGACTCACAACAGGACCTCTATAGATGAGCTAGTCATGTAAACTTGTAATCATTTTCCATGAATGACTTTGTAGTGCAAGTTGTCAGTAGACATTGTGTTTAGTAGCTCTGTTTACATAATATGGAATGATTGACTATGCTCAGTAATACTAGGTTTTGTTTGTTTTAAAACTGTTCAGTTTAGCATGTTTTTTATAAAGGTGTTATAGGTGGAAAAAGTCAAAGGAGGTTTGAATGCAGTTGGATTAGCATGGCACTTGGGGAAGTTTTTTTCTAAACCAAAACATAACCTTCAAAGATTTTTTAGAAGTCTCTCTTTACACTTGAGTTTTTACTTAAAAGGAACCCAAGTTCTTTATATTTGAGAAACCCAACAAATATTTAAACTGGCCTCAATAAAAGTTTTCATTTCACCTGTTACTGCTATGATGATTCCAGGAGGAGCAGCAAAGTGTGGCAGCATATAGAGGTGGGGTGGAATGTGTGTGGAGAATTAGTAAAGTCACAGACCTCCCCTGATTAGAATTACCAACCTCAAACTGAGCGACAAACCTATGCTGCTTTGTGTAAAGATTGGCTTTGCGAAGTTCTGTGCTTTGAGGGAGTCAGCAGTTTGCATTGGGCCAGAATGTCGATTTCATAAATTCTTCAGTCTCTGCTGAAGATAGGCAGTAGACAGTTATGTCACTGTGGAGTAGTGAAGGTTCCACTGGCATTTGCAAAACTGCACTAACTGCTGAAACCGCCCTAGCATGACTTCTGAAGTGGCTCAGACACCCACCGGGTGTACCCAGTCAGTATATTACAGTAGCCTTTTGAGCTCTGGTTTTCTCTTCTTTATTGCAGAGGTGGTCTCGCGAATGCCGTAGCACACAGCGTGCAGTGCCACCGAGCTCCTGAGATCTTTGGTGAAACCTTGTTTGCAGTGGGGGATTGCCATCACCAAAAGCTACCTCCCTGGGCATCAACTGCAGTGGATCACTAGAGACTTTTGATAGCCCCTGGCCGATTGGCTGCTTTCCAATAGTAGTGAGTGAACTGCAGTGCATTTAAGGTCTGTGACACTGTAAAGGCTCCTTAAGTTCCTGCAGCAAGTTGACCTGAAGCGCTATGTAAGTGTGTCCTGGATCCCTCAGCTAAAGCACTAGGTACTAAACTACATGTGGGGCCTTAGCCATTGCTGGATATCACAGACTTATTACTACGTTATATGTATCCCAAAGAGGTGGAATACTTATGGAATATATCCATCGTGGACAACCTAGAAATTCAGTACCCAGCCAAGAGGGTTGGGTATAATCCTGTAGAATCCTTACTAAGTTCCAAATATCACATGTATGATAATCCTATATAACACGTGTGAAGCTAATCAGTTGCACTTAACTGATGTAATTTCATAGTATTAAATCTTTGGAGACTCAGGGAAGAGAATCCTGACAGAGAAATGGTAATAGTCCTATTTATTTTTTTTGCTTTTCCATATGAGTAAAGCTGTATTTTTTGCCCTTTAATACAAATGCACATTAAGCCCAGGCCAGTATCTTTCTGGCACATTATTCCACATTTCTCGTCATGAAAAAGGACTCCTAGTAGTAGACTCTTAATTCTGAAGTAGCTCCTGTGGACAGCTGGAAGATTTGAATATCTCAGGAATGTCACTGTCCAGTTTTGAAATGATTTTATAAATGGGTTTCTTCCAGGAGGGCTCTGAGTCTTTCCCTGCTGTGACAGCATTGAAGAACTCCTGCAGTGTCAGGCTGGCAATTTCCAGGAACTGGTCTGGGACCTGCCGAGGCAAAGAAATGAACGAATGGCAAGGCCACCACACACATTACACAGTATACATTCCATGGTGAGTTTTGGGCTGGGCATCACTGGCCTACCGAAGAAGGAACCAAGGAGCTGAGATCCTCCCTGACTTTTGTGGGAGTAAGTTCCAGGATCCACTTCAAAAGGCACCAAAGAACAAATACAAACTAGATGGTGGCAACAGCAAGAATCTTGCCTGTGAGCACACAAGGAACATTCCAGGTTGCCAGATTTGTAAATCACCTACAGGTGGGCTAGTATTTTAGTAAGTGAGTGTGATACCTTGCTGTTACATAAAAATCTATGGTTCATACACCATGGCTTTTTTTCAGTGTTATAAACTTGACATAAAGAAGATATCTAAGTAATGGTACCTTTGCTCATACCCAGGCACTCCCTACTTCCCACCCCCAACTCCTTCCCTTCCAGGCTCACCCGAGTATTTCAGAATTCTTTGGTCCCAGTGCCAACTGGGAGGCAAGCCCAGAAATCTGGCCAGACTATAGAAAGTGGACCCAAATTCCTAGAATATCACCATAAATGAGCAGGCCCCATCTGTTAATTCTGGGCTCGAGAGCCAGGATTTCATCGGTATCTGCATGTCAGATGGTGTCTCAAAGTTTAGAGATGTGGCATTAACTTTTTCACATAGTTATTCCTTTGTTTTTAAGCAAACCTGAATAAATCGAGTAAGTATCTGAAACAGCTTTGCTACTTCATGTGCCAGCCAAAAGAGACTTCTTAAGGATCAAGTTGAAATGATCAGGAAGCAACCAGAATTTAAGAGAATCTATGAAGCATTGAGGGTAGAGAGCTCCCCAGGCAGTTCTGTATCACCTTGTGGGATTTATTTTACTTCTCTGGGACTGTTTTCTTGTCCGCAAAATGAAAGGGTTGGATGAGATGATTCCTAAAGTCCATTCCAGCCCTGGATGACATACTCAAGACAAAAGAAGGAAATTCTAGTTCAAGTCCCTAGTTTCCAAAAATCTATTTGAAACTCCTAATTGAGTTTACCTTACCAACTGAAGTCAATACCTCCCCTCCCAGAGGTAAGATGATAATCTCTTTGTAATCATGACCAAGTATTGATGGATGGATGAATGAGTGAACAAATCAAATAACAATGTCGTTTTTGAAAGGGGAGAATTCATTATAGGATCAATTCTGGCTCAGAGAAAACAACATGTTAGTCTAATAATGAGTTGTCTGTCAATGGTAGATAAGTAGATAAGAGATTTGTCTGTTTCTTTGTGCAGAAACATCAACCAAACAGAGTAGTCTATACACCTGTATTGGCAGCTTTACCACTAAGGTATACTACAGAGAGTGCCTTCTTCAAAAACTTCATAAGGGATTGGGAATTTGAATGTTGCATAAATATTAAGATTAAAGTAGATTTCTCTCTCTTCCCGGACCCATGATATTTTCTAAACAAAGGCCTGAACACAGTGGGACAATGAAATGGAGGTTTGTTCTACTCAATTCCATTCCTGGTCTTTGGCAGGAACTTCTGGGTTAACTCCGTATAGGTCATTCTTAGGAATCTTCCATTGGTCTCAAGGAAAGCGACATTATATTCCTTTAAACTCTCATCATCACACAGGAATTGACTATAAGACCTTGTGGGAAACAAATAGGTAGTGTTACCTCAAAGTCATTTCCCTTATTGTAGTGCATGTTGAGGGTCCGGAAGAGTTCTGAGTTCCTGGGAACTTTCAGCACATTTGGGTTTGTGATTCCTTCAGAGATAGCTTGTCGGGCAAATTTTTCCATCTGGATGTAATAAAACTCACGAAAATTACTGAACCACTTGATGAGCTGGGAGGTGATGCAGCGATTGAACTGAAAAGAAAAATTTCAATTGGTCAAAAATTAAAATGCTCCCCCTATTCTCATCAGGCCCTAAAATATGGAATTGTAAAGAGCCAGTTCAGAATGATGGGGTGATGTGAATGGCTTTTTGGCTTCTCTAAAAAGCATTGCTTTTTTATTATTATTATTACAAGTGTCATGGTTATTTTCCATATTCTTCATTTAGAAATAGAACAAAATCAGTGTTGTGTTGCCTATTAGGAAAGAATTACTTCTTCAGCTTTCTGAGCTCCTCTTGGTTGTTGGTTTTTAGTCCCCTAAGGTGAACACTATACTGTATGTAGTTGGGAAATAGAGGATCAGCAGGTATAGTGCAGAGTTCTCATGCACATAGCTGGACTGCATGGCTGCTGTCAACTCCCCCAACTCCCCGCCCCCCAGAAGAGAATAAGACATGGGTAACGTGTAGGGATGGCATTCAAGAAAACAGCTTGTCAGCAACACAGAGCTGCAAGATGAATGTGTTTGAGGATGAGTAAATCTAGGTTTGCTTCAGACACAGAGTTCACGAAAGTCTTTTCTGTCACAGACAGGGCCAAGGACATAGGTCACTCAACAAATTCTTCTTTGATGATGAGGGACAGAAATCCTATTTCCAATAGCTCAAAGCTAGGTTTCCCTTTACTCTATCACAGTTGGCATGCATAGATGTCTACATTAGGTCTGGGTCAGCCAACCGGCACTTTGAAACACTGAAAGTTGGGGATGGATATAAACTGCTAAAGGTACCAATCGTATTACTTCTTCTAGTCATTCTTTTCCAATGTTGTGTCTCACTGATTAGAACCTTTTCAGTGGGAATACTAGATGCAAGGGCTTAATTTACTAGGGCATTTGAGGGCTTTGGTCCATGTGAAGGTGCAGGCAGACTGGGATTCCTTCCCACCCCCGGGTTAAAAGAGGAAAACTAAGCAGTAGTTTGAGGATTTGTTGATATCCACAGTCGATCAGGTACTTCCAGAACAATAGGGACGCTTTGTATGCTCAGACTGCTGCAAAGGCCACCTGAGGTTAAATCAGCAAAGGGTTAGAGGAGAAAAAAACCATGTTCCTATAGCCTTCCTCCAGGAGTGTGCTGGTAAATGATTAACAACCAACTCTCTAGGGGGAGAAAGTGTGCAAGACACACTTTAAGCTTAGTCTGCATTATTAACACTTTCTTAAGTCTGGAAATCAGCAAAGCAGTAAGTCAAGCCCTGATTTGTAACATTTGTCAATATTGAAGGTACACATGCTCACACTGAAAATTTAACAAATTTAACACTTAACTCTCAAGTGAGCATGTTCGAGCTGTCTCCAGCCTGCCTGCCCACATCCCGGCTCTGGCTGGTGGTGAGTCAAGATCAGGACAGCCAGCCACTGTTAACAGATACTCAAGAGAAACAGTGATTAGTTCATTCAGATTGATAGCTCAGCCCTCACCCCTCTGGATAGAAGATGGAAAGCCAGATATCCCCTGCTGCATCTCTCTGTGTTAAAGCTATGTCTGTGACCCCACTGTGTAAAATTCCTGCATGTAGCCCTGACTGGATCAGAGCTATATATCAATCTCTCTCTGTGTTCTTGTAACTCTGCTGTTCAAGTAAATGATTAGAACTAGAGTGGTGTGCGGTGGGAAGAGCACTGTGTGGAGACCACAGTCCCGGTCTTGGCCTTGGCACCAGCTATTTATGTCATCTCCAACTTTTCCTCAAATGTAAGAGGGTTGGATCAGATCACTAAGGTCCCTCCCACTCTTAGTAGTTTATGATCCTAAGGCCTTCAAATAAATTTTTTAAAAGCTCACTAAAACTTGTACTTATTTTTGTCTACTCTGTAACTCTTGTTGTCCTACTCAGCCTTTGTAAGGTCAAATGATTCCATTTCAATGTGTTTCTTTTACTAGCCACTTGGGGGAGCTAAAGTAGTACATGATTCAAAGTGGCAGGACTGCTTATGTCTGCTCCTTTGCTAAGTAAAACCAGTGAAGTATTTTCAAAATTGTTGATTGGTTGCATTAGCCATGCAAATGAGTTGAGTTGTTTTTACCTGAACATCAGGGAAATAGGCTTTCAGGAGGCTGGAGCTTGGGTAACGGGTAAAGAAAAACATCAACTTGGCCTTCTTCAGGTGGCCAGGGTTTAGCCCCTCTTGGATTTACTCCATGGTCAAGGAGAGATAATTTTTTTTTTTTTTTTTTGCTTTTTGGTGAGGGAATCAGGGTTAAGTGACTTCCCCAGGGTCACACAGCTAGTAAATGTCAAGTGTCTGAGGTTGGATTTGAACTCAGGTCCTCCTGACCACAAGGCCAGAACTCTATCCATTTTGCCACCTCGCTGCCCCAGGAGAGATAATTTTTATCAAACCTGAACTGTGAATTTTCTTGCCCTTGGTGGTTTTTATTTTCCCTGCAAATGGGTGCTTTTCTTCCTTTGCTGCTTAACTCAGAAGAGATTGAGTAATATCCTTTTTCTTTCCTGATGTTTGGTATCATATGTACAGATTTTTTTTATTTTATAATTCACCTATTTTACATTTTGAAGTTTGAAATCACATGATATAACTTTATTTCATGTATTCATCTCTGTTTAAACACAAACATACAATAGTTTCTGTGATGCCACATCTCTAAATTCTGGAATACTCATTTGACATGAGTGAAAAAGGCAGATTGGTGGGGAGGTAAAACTTCTAATTAAGATTAAGCAAGTGGCCCCCTGCTTGATTAATGATTTTAGCTTTAGATACAGAAGACTTTTTTTTGTTATTATTGCTTTTAAAGAAGAAAATACCGTGTGTGTGTGTGTGTGTGTGTGTGTGTATGTGTATGAAGGTGCCAACCCATTTAAAAACCCAAACAGAAAGTTTCCTTGCCTCTCTGAACTCCACTTTCCTCATTTGTAAAATAACGGGCTTAGATTAGATGGATCTCTAAGACTCCTAACATTTCCTGAAACTACAAGTCTTGCATGAGCACATACAAAATTTAGTTCAGAAATTTGCATCACCAAAAATTAAGATCTAGATACTAGGAGACTACCTGCTATTATTCGAGTAGCTTGAGATTAGATATGTATTGCTGATTAAGTCATTAATTTTGGCCCTTGTGTCTAAATTATACTTAATATGGAAACTTAATAGCGGTTCCAATCTAGACTTGGTAGTCTAAGGATTTGTATTCAAATCTCTTCCCCATCACTTATTACATGATCTCTGGTCTCCAATTTCCTCATTTGCAAAATGAGCAAGGTAAACTACTTGACCTTTAAGAGTTCTTCCAATTCCAAACCTGTGATTTTGCATTGATATCCTGTAATCATTCCAGAAGCCTAAAGGTCAGGCTGGGGGAAGGTGTGGAATTAAATGGTTGCTTTGTCCTTTGGGGGGAAAAGTTGTCACACAGGAATAATCAATTCTGGGAAAGTTTGAAAACAACAAAAGTGAATAATAAAGGGGTGGCTTTGGGTTAAATTATCTACCATAAGAAGCTTTGGACCTGTAAATAATACGTTATGGTAAAATTTAGCAAAAGAATATTAGCTAAGGACAGTAATCCTTGAATAGTCCTGAAACAGTGAAGTAGATAGATTCTTTGGCACTCATCTCACTTTAAAGTCCTCTACACCATCCTATGGGCCTATGCCCTATTCCTCCTCCTCTGGACCTTGCTTCTAGTAATCCTTTTAAAGGGCTAACTGAGATGGTTTAAGACCCTGCTACTCAGATGTTTGTGTGTTATTTGAGTACTCTTAAAATCTGTTAAGTTTTCAGGACCCAAGAGAATGAGTTTCTAATGAGTGGATATACTTTTTTTTTGGGGGGGGGGGTTGAGGAGATGGAGGATATTTTGAAGTATTTTGTATCCTTCAGAATATTACCATATCGACAACTACTTTGAATGAAGTATTGGCATGCGGCTAGCCCTGGAAATTCCTTCTGTCTTAGTGATAAGTATGAAGCTATGACCAAACCTGGATCCAAGAAGATCTCAATAGGCTAGAACAATGGGTTCAGTCAGTTCAGCTAGATGAAATTTAATAGGGATACATGTAAGCTCAGCACTTGGTCTAAAAAAAAATTAGCTACCTAAGCAAAAAGGTGGGAGAGATGTCACTTGGTCTCTTATAATGGAGTGCAAACTCAAGAGAAGCAATCAATGAGATGTAGCTGCCAAAAAAGTCAATGTAATGTTAGACGGCATTAATCGAAGCATCCATTCTAAGGGAGGTAATAGTCCTGTTGTGGTCTGCCCTGGTCAGGCCACACACAGAGTATTATATTAAGTTCTGGGTATCTGTTTTAGGAGGGATGTTGACAAGCTAGAGCTCATCCAGAAGAGGGAAGATCAAAATGGTGAGGGGATGGAAAGTCATGCCCTAAAGGGAATGGAAGGAACTGGGAATGTTTGGATTGAAGAAGACATGTATTTGAACAATTGTTACTGACTAGGAAGAGAAGTTATACTTGTTTTTCTTGACCCCAAGAGGTCAATGTAGGAGAGAGGCAGAGTTCAACAAATCTGAGGAAATACTTTTTTTTTTTTAAACCATTAGAGCTGCTCTACAGTTTGCCTCAGGAGGGGGTAGGTTACTTACCACTAGTATTCTTCAAACTAAAACTTCCAGAAATACTGCTGACATGCCCAGATAAAGGTTGGATTGGTTGACCACTGATGTCCCTTCCCATCTTTTTTACATTCTCATCATGGCAGCATGAAACAGAATTTTCTAGGTCTGTGATTTTTTTCAGTGCCATGTTAGGGTAGACATCTTTGGATCCTCCATTAACGGACTTCTGCAGGTGTTCTAGAGAGAAAGCTGTTAGACTTGGGTTGCCCTTTAGACTATCCTTACCATCTAACTTAGTCTGTGACATTGTCTTGGGGAGAGAATGCCCTACAATTTGAAGTTCCCACCCCTATCCGAGAAGACCCCTGTTTTCATTAGATGATCCCTCAGTCTGAGAGATTCTTAACTAGGTAGTTGTTATTATTTGCCTATATGACATTTATGGACAACAGGGTTAGATAGATACAGATTTTTTAAACTGGAAGGGACCTTAGTTATACTACTCTTGTCCAGTGCAAAACGGCAAGGGACATGTGGACTGCCAAAGCCAGAAAGAGATAGATATGTGAAACACATAATGGTATGGAATTTAGGTATTCCTTTTATCTAGGACCAACATTCAGGTGAGTCATCCCAACCATATATACCAGGCTATTGCACATATAAATATAATCAGATTCAACCATGTGTAAAATTTGCCTGAGCACTTGCTTATTTCTCCTGTGACTGCCCTTTACCACTCCTCACACTACATTCTCTCTCTTGTTCCACCAGGGTCCATTTCCCATGAACTGTCAGGTACTAATACTGTCTCCATTGTATTGTGCATGATGGTTTTCATTCTAGCACTTTTACCTTGCATATGTTATTTACAACTTCCAAGATTGAAAGCATTGGATAAAAATATTAAGGCATTAGATGATAAATGACCTAAAGATATTATCTGTTCTGGTGTTAATAGAACACTTGGAGTAAGAAAATTCTTCCAAGACCCAAAGAATTTAATTTCTAATGGCAGAATGCCAGGCACCATGACAAGAACTGGAGAGAATCATTTTGGCAAGAAGACTTCCTGGAGTCCATGAAATAACACTATAGGTAATTAATTGCCAACTCTTTGCAAGGCTGGCCTTTGAATGCAATGAAAACCTTTGGGTTGCTATAAAGACTGGCATGGAAGAAAAGGCACGAGAAGCCTTAGTTTTTCTCCATGTATCACGGAGGCCTCCCTCAATCATTTCTCATTTTTCAGTTTCTCGGAATATTGGCAAGACAGCCTCAGTGACCAATAAAGGATATATGGACAGAAGAGAAAGGAATCACATCTGTGTTGGTCTTCAGGTTCTCGTGTTCCAGCTTCACTGTTTGAAGAAGAGCCAGACCTTCTACTTGGTTAGAGGTGAAGGGCAGTGGGTATCGCTGCTGGCCCATGCCTGATGACTGCCGTTTAATAGTGGCCCAAGATAGATCTTGAGACTGTGGGGATGAAGTAGCTTGAAAGGAAGAGATTTGGGAAGGGCTATAACTCCAATGGCCATTTTGTCCATACCCTAACAGTTGGCTAAGAATCTGTTTTTCTTGAATGTGAGAAGTCATAGCTAAATTTACTGGAAGATCCTGGTAGGGTTTCTGGGTCATTCTTGAATTGACCAGGTGCCCTAGAGAATCTGAACACTTCTTCATGGACAATGGCAAAGCACTCATGTGGGCCTCAGCTTGTGATTGTGCCATATTCTGGGAGCTTTCCATGGGAAGCTGATCTTTGCTTGAGTTCCCTGTAGCAGTAGAATATCCGCTTTTTCTGTCTCGTCCTGGCCCTTGGATACCATTTACCAGTTGAGTCTGGTAACCTGATGGTTTTGATAATACTTTTCTTAAGACTGAATCCACAACCTGGGACACAGCCCCAGTTAATTCTTTCTTTAATATCTCTGATAGAGTTTTCTCTTCATAAGTTATTAACCAGGGAGCCCTAGATTGGCTTTCCTCTTCAGAAATTTTGGGTTTCTCTCCTTTGGCGAAGTTCCTTTTGAGATCCTTATACTGATCAATGCCTACAGCCCAGTGGCCACAGTTTGAATCATTCCTGTGTTTTAGAGAGTCCTTTTTTCTTCCCATATCTTTCTGGCTTTGAGCTAGGGCACTGTGCTCAGAAAGCTGGAAGAGTCTCTCTTGAAGATGTCTTAGCTGCTGCTGTAGCATTTGAAATTGTTCCTTAAAATGGTGACTTTCTCCCTTCCAGTTACCTCTACTGACCCCTGACCACTCTCCCCCCTGGGGATTCTGCTGCTGAGGAAGTTTTTGTTTCCTCTTATTCTCCCTGCTTTTTTCTGTGGGATGCCTGCTGTCCTTTTCCCTAGAATTGCTTGAGGGCATCAGTGGGTTTGGTGAAAGAGACATGCCTTGTATAATAGTTTCTACTCTGGCCCTTTTAGCTTGTATGTGTTCATCACAAAACCAGTCAGAATCAACAAAGTTAGAAACGGTGATTTGGTCCCAGGGAATGGGTGAGTCTTGCCCACATCCTCTGGAGGACGGGCTGCTTCCCTCTTCTTTCATAGATTCTCCCATGTGAGAATATGTCTGAGATTTAGAAGAAAGAAAAACAAAATTTGGATCCATCCTGATGGTTCCACACAAGCTTATCAAGTAGCTATAATTTCACTGAAACTCAGGACCAGAGAGTATTTCATAAGTGGGTTGGTTTTTTTTTTTAAACTGGGGTCTCTTTTTTCCTAAATACTCAGAGCTAATGCATATAGTGCTACCCTCAGTAATGCACTGGTTCATTCAACAAGGGAGTGTTCTCCTGTGAAGTTAGAATGAGAGGGAACGGGTACAGGACAAAAACTTTGACTCTTCAGTTCCGGGGTTCTAAGAAAGACCATAACAGGACCAGATTTTCAAATTCTGCTTTGCAAAATCCTGAAATGGAAGAGAAAAAGAACATAACTTAGAGACCCCTAAAACTTGCCTTTCAGAGAGGACCCTAATTGCCCATCTAGATTTATGCTCAGTTTTTTTCCTAGCTGCATTTTGGGTGCTTATGCCTGTACTAATTTTTTTTTAATTATGATCATTGTGTCATCTTACTCATTTTAGATGTGGTTATCTATTTTGTCTTGGCCCTACAGAGCATGCTACGTTTTAGATGGTCCTTCTTCAACCAGCTACCTTCTCAAAACTTGAGAATCCATCAGGGGTGGGGAACTTATGGCCTCAAGGTCACATGTGGCCCTCTGTGTCCTCAAGTATGGCCCTTTGAATCCAAATTTCACAGAACAAATCCCCTTAAAAAAAGGATTTGTTCTGTAAAACTTGGACTCAGTCAAAAGGCCATACCCAAGGACCTAGAAGGCCACATGTGGCCTCAAGGCCACAGGTTCCCCACCCCTGGCTAGATAAACCAACTTCCCTCCTCTTCCCCCCCCCCCCCCCCCCCCCCCAGTGTCCTTTAAAAAAAAAAATCAAACCCAATTCATATGGTTTCAAGTGGAGGTTAAAAGAAACTCCCTCTCTTTGATAACCCCCAGTCCCATGATAGCCTTTTACATATACACTAATTAAATGGACTTTTTTTTCACCCACTCCCCACCCTTTTGGGTTAATTTTATTAATTACAACTGCCTCTGTGCCAAGGAAATCTCAGGTCCACAACAATGGCTTGTGTTCTAGGCAAAACCTATGCTGCTCTAGTCACAGCAATATTGAAAAATCATACATTCTTAGGGTTGGAAGAGATCTCAAAGGTCATTTAGTTCAGTCTCCTACCTGAAGCTTAAATCTCCTCTGCAATGTGTTTATCATATAATTACCTAGCCTTCACTTAAAGACCTCTGCTTATGGAGAACTCATTGCTCCCCAGAGTAGCATATTCCATTTTTGGACAGCTCTGACAGTCATGAAATGTATCCTTATATTGAGCCAAAATCTTCCTCTCACTTCTACCCATTGCTCCTAGCTCTGCCCTCTGAAGCTGAGAAAAATAAGTCTTATCTTTCTTCTACATGACACCCCTTCAGATATTGAAGATAATCTATCTTTTCCTCTTCACCTCTCCCACCAGAAACCCAGATTCTGCCCCTGGAACTACTCTGGGTTCTGATAGGTGAGCTTTTGCCTTTATTTTGTCTAGAACCAGGCCTGTATGTCACTTCCCAGTTCTTTCTTTTCTTTCCTTTTTTCTTTAATTTACTATTTAATTTTTTCCAATTACACATAAAAAGTTTTTAACATTCATTTTTAAAAAATTCTGAGCTCCAAATTCTCACCTTCCCTTCTTCCACCCTCATTGAAAAGACAAGCAATTTGACATAGGTTATACATGTATGGTCATGCAAAATATATTTCCCTATTAGTCACATTGGGAAAAGGAACACAAACCAAACAAACAAGAAAAATAAAGTTATAAAAAATCTGCTTTCAGACTCCATCAGTTCTTTCTCTGGAGGTGAAGAGTGTTTTTCATTATAAGTCCTTTGGAATTGTCTTGGATCATTGTATTGCTGAGAATAGATAAGTCATTCACAGTTGACACCATATAATATTGCTGTTACTGTGTATGATGTTCTGGTTTTGCTCATTTCACTTTGCATCAGTTCATCCCCAGTTATTTCTAAACCAACCTCTACTCCTCCAACCCTTTATTTATTTAGCTACACTTTATGTCTTTTCTCACATTAGAATGTAAGCTCCTTGAGGGCAGGGGCTATCTGCTTTCCTGTATTTGTATCTCCAACACAGCACAGTGTCTGGCACATAATAAGCACTTAATAAATGCTTTATCATCCATTCATTCTCCAGACCAAATATACCCAGTTCCTTTAGTTGATCCTTATGTAAGAAGGAGTATTCCATACTATTAGCTCGACAATTACAGGGAGCCACGACTTCTGAATTGAATCAGGTTATGAACCAGATGTGAACAAGGCCTAGTCATCTCTTTTGAGTCAATCAGGTGCAATCAATTAAAGGTATAAGCTATCAACTAACATGCCTTTGAGCTATTGGATGAAAGTTTTCACATAGGAAATATCTCATGGTTAGTTGAGGAGGGTCAGTCATGCATTTTAGGGCTGAGATAAAAACAACATGTCTTGTTCTTAATGCTGACATTTCCTTTATAATCCTATAAGCACAAGCCTTTTAATGATATTTATACTTCAATGCTTAAAGGATCTGTGATTCAGTGTGGGACCTATCTATAACTTAGTAGTTAAGTCTTAGAGAGTTTAAGAGACTTACTTCTGGTCATACAACTAGTAAATGTCAGAGGTAGGATTTTAACCCAGGTCTTTTATCTCCAGGCCCAGTACTCTATTATGCCACACATTTTCTCTAAATAATGTATTAATAATATGTCTAGAATTTTATTAGGATTTGCTGTAAAGATCATTAGCCTATAGCATTGACTTTTCTCTTTTTAAAAATTGGGATATATGTTTAGTATCTGAAACAGAATTTTGTCACTCCTAATTACTTAGTGTTGTAGAAAACTGAGGTATAGGTGGCAGAGTATTTTCGGTCATCAACACTATTAAAAAAAAAAACACCAGTGAAAACAGGAAATTAGGGATCCTAAATCTGAGCTGCTAGATTGATTTGCTTTTAAATACTAGCACAATCAAGAAAAACTCATGGGATCTGTCAGTCAACAAGCATTCTAATCCTACTGTGGGCCAGGCCCTATGCTAAGTAATTCAAAGAAAGATTCAAAGAAAGACCAAGGAGCCTTGCTCTTAATGGGGCAGCGGGGAGCAACCTGCAAACAACTATGTACAACAAGATATAGACAGAATAAACTGGAGATTCTCAAAAGGAAGCATTGGTGGTAAGGGGAGTTGAGAAAGACTTCTTGTAGAGGGTGGGATTTTAGATGGGACTTGAAGGAAGCCAGGGAGGGGAGGGAAGGAGACGGAAATGAGGAGGGAAAGAATTCCAGGCATAAGAGACAGCCAGAGAGAATGCCCACAGTTTGGAGATGGAGTGTTTTAATCAAGAAGCGACTCAGAGTCCAGTGGTACTGGGTACTGGGTACTGGGTTCAGGGTGTGTAAGGTGTAAGAACACTGGAAAGACAGGATGGTGGCATATTATGAAGGGCTTCAGATGCTAAATAGAGGTTTTATATTTGATCCTGGAAGTGATAGGAAGCCACCTGGTGTTATCTGAATAGTAGGGAAGTGTCTGACCTGTACTTAAGGAAAATCAACAGCTGAAGGCAGAATAGACTATAGAGTATAGTGGGAAGATATCTGAAGCAGGGATACAACCAACAAGCTAATGCAAATAGCCCAAGTGTGAAGTAATGAAGGACCAGACCACAGTGGTGGCAGTGTCAGAGGAGAGAAGGAGACAAACACAAGAGACAAAGATCGAGTAACAGGACTCTCCCCCACATGTAGCGTGGGAATATTGTGTGTCTTGAAGGGAAGCAGAATAGGCATCTCTAGCCTCTTCTCCTCCAACTTCTTCAAGGAAGACTTTAATTCTTGCCAGGAGGAAAAGGGAAGTTGGGGTCAGAAGCTTAGTCACTTTGCTCTCCTCAGAGAGAGGGGGCCACTAGGCTAGAATTTATCTGCTCCCTTAAATATTATTAGTCTAGGGGATGTGATATTCAGGTTCAATCTAACTTCTGGTTGTTAATTTCTTGAATTGGGGAGAATAGTACCCCAAGCTTTATATCTAAGGCTTAACTCTGTTTCCATCAAAACCCACCTCCACAATGAACACATATAGTAAGGAGGTGCCCAAGAAACCCATTTATCCAAGTCGATAGCAAAACAAAAACCAGAAAAAGTCTATATATACAAACACACACATATATATATACATATACATATACGTATATATACATATACACATACGTGTATGTATGTGTGTGTATACGCACACACGAGAATGCTTACCAGACAATACAGCGTGAAGAAACTCTCCCATTGGGAACAAGGTAACTGAATTCAACCGAGAGAATCTTAGATCTCACCAATGAGGCCATGAGAATTACATCATTTAGCTCTGACAGGTTGAATGGCCTATGTAACCATAGTGGAACAGTTTTTTATTCAAAAGGTCATTCTCTTTGGCTCATGCCCCAACCTGGAGCACCCAGGAAAATGCTCATGACATAGTTCATGTGTAGGTTTACCTAAATATGACAGGGAGTCCAGCAACACAGGCACTCAATATACAATATGGTATTGTGTACGCAATCACCATTATTTTGTTCCCTATAGAAAATGAGCAAGATGAAAAGAACTCACAGAAGCCCACAACAAACACAGAAACACAAATCACTCAAATAGCTCATTAGATTCCCCTCAGAAAGTAAAGACTCTGGCGGGCTCCTAAACAAATAATCCCCATTCACCTCAAATTTTTACTGACCTAGAAACTCATGGTAATATCGGGGAAGTAATGACAAGGTTCAGATCTCCTCCCCCCAGTCCCTAAGATAACTTCAGTCCTTCAGCTGTGGAAGCTACATTGGCAGTCTTCCTTCTTCTTCAAGGAGCACACTGCTGAGGAAATCTCCTTCTAGGAGGTTCCAGTGTCCTCACGGATGCTTGAATTTAGAATTACCCATAAGGTAACCATTAAACATGGGAAAGTTCATTCTGAGGAACTCTTAGTTCCTGACCTACACTGAGAAAAGGAAAGAAGCAAAAGAAGGCAGCCAGGAAATGGAACTCAAGCTTATTATATATTTCTCCTGGAAGTCACCATTATTTTTTCTTTGGGGTGCAAAAAGGGGGAAATTCCTCTTCTCCCCTTATTTGATGAACTACAACAAGAAGGGAGAGAATGTGCTAGAAATAGGGTTGAGCCATTTCACAGCTCATTTTATAAACTACAGGGTAAAGGCAGCTCTTTTGGTAAGAGTTCAATGCCCTGCTTGCCTCTACCTATGAAAATATCTTGGGGAGAGGAGGTCCTATGTCACCTCCTGTTCAGTAAATTCCAGTGGCTCCCCATTACCTCCAGGATCAAATATAAATCTGTTTGGCTTTCATAACCGGGCCCCCTCCTACCTTTCCAGGCTTCTTACTCTTTGTTCCATATACTCTTCCATCTAGTGTTACTGGTC